TTAAAGAATCAAGGTTAATCAGCGACGTCATCGATAAAGTATATCCAATCGTTTAGTGTATGCTTATCATATAAAATTATACGTCTCAGTCTACAAATTTATCAAAGATTTACTGCAATTATAAAGAAGAAATATGATATTCGTTACATAATATAAGTTACGGACACGAGGTGGTAATTTACTGAATTTGCAAATGATTTAATGTAGGGTCACATCTTCAAAAATAATGTCGCCATTTTCTCAATAATGTGGTGATCTACTCTCATCAACAACGAATAAAATATAAAAGATATTCTTGAATAACAATTTTACATCGTTCATCAATGTTAAAAGACGTGGTAATCGTGAATATGTTTAAAATGACATTTTTTTTTATTATGAGTAGTAACCAGAAAGTTAAATTTGAATTTTGATCAACATAAGTTTGATCCACAGACATATTGAATGTACAGGTTTGTGTTACAGCAACTCAAATTAGATCTTAGATATAGCCATTACTGAGATATATAGCAATAAATATAAATTATCTTTTTTTTAATGTTTCTTAGAAATTACTTTTATCGTGATTCAATTTCTAAACATAACGTGTTTTTACCCGTCAGAAATTTAAGTTGTTGGCTTGAATATTGTATACCGCACTAAATATAGCTGACGCTTATATCCAGCTAAAAAAATACTGTTTAAAGTGACAAATTAATTACAGCTTGTGACTGAAGTCCATGATGAAGATAACTAACTTACTTTAGGAGGTTTTGATCACTGAAGGCACCTCCAATCAGTTCCAGACTGATCGTGAACAAAGTCATGAGTGGAAAAACATCTTTAAGTTTATGGCTCATTGTGGTACCTGAAATACATAAAAAATAAGAGAAAATAAATTAAGAAAAACATTCTCAAGCAAAGCATTTGTCTTACCTCACGTTCTATATTTTCAACTTGAACTAATAAAATTTTATTTTACAAATGCCCTCCCTGTTTAGTGGGCTAATCGCCCGGGCGAAGTGTTTATTATTTGCATGTTTAGTGCAAACGCTGCCGTTAAAGAATGTCGCCGCCTTTCCGATGAATGATATTTGTATTGTGAAATTGTTTTGTTAAAGGATGTCAAGCCAAAAGACTCAACATTTTGAAGAAGGGAGTTTTAAATGTTCTCATGGAAACGGGAAATCTCGCGCAACGGAACGTTTATGTCAGAAGCACGTTCCAAAACCACAACCCAAGTCAACCCAGAGAAAAGCCCCCAGTCATAAATAGAGAGCTATAGTAATAAAATAGAACTTCTCAACACAAGAGAAGGCCGTTGTAATAAAACTGGGTTTGTCTCACAGTATCACTAAGCACAATAGTGCTTAGTAATAGTATGTAGGGATGGCCGAGAAAAAAAATGACTGCTGTATTCAATCTATTACTCTATGATGCTTACAAATAACTGCTGAAGTGGAGTTATAGCCTTATTTGAGCGCCTAATTGTCATTATCGAGTGTTTTACAGCTTGTTAGACTCCCATTATCATTGAAAAGTGTTGCTAAAGTGGAGAGCTGAGAATTAGCTAAAGAGTCAAAGTGTTCATCAAAAATGTGTGAAGTTTTCGCAATAGTTTTAATACGACAAAATTCATTTTAAGAACACTTGGAAACAGGCTATCACTAAGTACGGTAGTGCTTAGTACAATCTACGCCCCCCAGAAGCACAGCGCTATGTCTGCGGACTTACAGCGCTAGAATCCGGGTTTCGATACCCGTGGTGGGCAGAGCACAGATAGCCCATTGTGTAGCTTTGTGCTTAATTAAACAAACAGTACAATCTAAAAAAATCATAATTGTAGTATAAACGATGATATTATTACCCCCTGAAGTTAGCTTTTTTACAGAAATCTGATGTTCCTTTAAAAAACATTAGTACAGGAATTACCAGCCAACAACAGAGGAACATTAGGTAGATGTAACATGTAAAATACTCAATGCTTTGTACACTATACTTTAGGGAGCCAACTCCTACATTATGTATGAAGTAAAGGAGTAAAATAAATCAATACATATAATATTAAATTTTATTAGATACATTCATAGAATACACTAACTATCAGTAAGGAGAAAAAACGTCACAAAACAAATAATAAAAAACATTTTGTAAATTATAATGATGTAGGGATGGCAGTGTCAAAACGAATACAAACATGAATATAGGAATGATACAACTATAAATTTGTCGTATGTTATTTTCTTACTGTAGGTTTCTCAACATTAAGTCACAAGAAGTCAAGATTATGACCAGTGATGAGTAATAATGTATTGTAGCCAATTGTATGGTATAATATCAATATCTGAGGTCATTCTATAACCGCAATGAATAAACTGATATTGTATTGATAATACATATTACCATTGAATTATAAAAATATAACAAACGTTCACTTATCAACCTTCTTCAATGAAATTGTTTAAAAAAAAAGAGGGGAACAAGTAATAAAATATTTTGCAAAAATTAAGTATGGCGTATGGATGACAATGTCGAAAAGTACAGAAACAAGGTAGGGATGAATACACAAAAACATACAAAAAATCACTATATAAATAGCTAAATCTTTCTAAGAATGACTTTTATCTTTAACTAAATGTTGAATTCCTGTTAGTCGCATGAATTCAGGTTTGAATAAAAGCATTTAAACTAAATAGTGCTATACAGTCTTATAATGTCTAATAACCATAAGCTTGTAAGGTTACTCAGTACTTACTGGCTATATATGTAGGGATTTTTGTATGGTTTTATGTATTCATCCCCTACCTTGTTTCTAGAATCAAAACTGAAAAGACAACCACTCCACTGGACCACAAACTTATCAACTCCTTTGATGCAACTTCAATGGACTTTATGCCTTTGGTACGCTTAAATACGGATAATGAAAGATATGTGAAAACAGTGATGTTGGGCAACAGTGCGTAATGTTAGTCATGCAAGTCCGAATGAGTATGACAGGCAACAAAAGAAAAGCAGTTCTAAGAAAAGCACAGGACAAACATCGTACTTACAAAGCATGACTAATACCCAGTAAGCAAATCACGGTGACCTTTGAACTTCTTTTTCTTTCGAATATGAAATAAACACAGCTATTAAGCCATATTAACAACTTAAAAATAAACTGTTTCTTCTACAGTGGAAACCTATCATATTAGTTAAAAATACAGCACAATTAATTACAGGACAGATTCTGCTTTTTTAAAACAGAAATGTAAAAGGAATAAATATTATATGAAAAGCGATGAAATTTTTGTGGTCAGTTAATATCTCAATATACATCGTGTATTGGACACATGTAAAGAGGTATTCCTTTTGAATAATTATCAATGACCGAAATAAAGCTCCTGCTATTTTCATAGATATATATATATATATTCGAAACTAACTTGAACTATTAAATCAAAATTGGGGATGCTTGTGTGTAGATTTGCTCGAAAAGTCTCAAAACAAACAAATAATCTCTCTTTTCATTATTTCCTGTTTCGAGGCTACAACAGCACTTTTTACAAGGTAAGGCTTAGGATATTATGTCTTCAATTAACATTATAGATGCATTAGTTTTTATTATATATTTTTTCTACACGGCTTACTTTTTAATGAAAAAGTAATAAAATGAAAAATGTATTTCTATTTCTACAAATAAACATTTTTTTTGGTAAAAAAGCTGAAAAATGCTTTCCAGAAATTGACATAGATTACATGATGTAGCAGAACAATTCAATTTTAATGTCACCGGATCTCATACATTTTGTTTCTTTCTTCCATTAGGTGCCATATGATGGATGGTTTTAGTGTTTATCTTAGTACAGAACTCACTCTTAGAAATGTAACCATTCACTCCAAGAACTAGTCCTCAAGTGAGCAATACTTCACTTACAAAGTTTTGAAACACATCGTCTTTCTTCAGAAGTAGTTTTCAGAAAGAAAATCATCGAGATGCAACTCCAAGTTTTGTGGCTCTTACCACCATTTATGTTTGTAAGATGAATGAGAGAGTTATTGGTCTTCTCTGATGGAGTCTAGCATAAACTGGTCGAAGTAGAACACGCTGTGTTCAACGCACAGGTTTTCATTACCCAAACTGGACAATAACTGAATATGGAAATCTAATGTATTGTGTAGTTCTGACATCAGTCTGCACCAACTGTAACATTCCGTAGGTGTTGAAATATGCAATTACTTTGAATTAGTTTGTTGCTAAAGCAATGTGACTACAAAGAAAACAGAGTACATTATAAAAACGGTCATGTACATATAGTTACTTATGTGGGTTCACACATGCCGCCACAGATTCGCCACTTATTTTTCTGTAAAATGTGTGCGATATTTGACAATTAACTACGATAAAGCCATATTATTATTGTTTACTAGAAAATACAACCAATATGATGGGAAAAAGTGTTTTTCATTGTTGTTTTTTATTTTTTAAACCAAGGATAAAAATAATCCTAATATAATAAAAAACAACAACATATACTTTGATACATGTAATGAATACATATTTGGCCAGGTGGTTACGGCGCTTGACTCGTAATTTGAGGGTCGCGGGTTCGAATCCCCGTTTCACCAAACATACTCGCCCTTTCAACCGTGGAGGCATTATAATGTAACGGTAAATTCCACTATTCGTTGGTAAAAGAGAAGCCCAAAAGTGGGTGGTGATGACTAGCTGCCTTCCCTCTAGTCTTTTACTTCTAGCGCAGAAAGCCCTCGTGTAACTTTGCGCGAAATTCAAAACAAATCATATTTGAAAAAGATATAAAGTTTAAAAAATTAACATTGAGTTCCTCTTCTTTGTGTGAATAAACTTTTATCTGAAAACTACCACATTATATTATAATTAGGCGGGCCTCAGTGTCTTGCAAACCTAAACCTTAAGCACAAAGCTATACAATAGATTACCTGTGCTCTTCTCACCAGGGGTATCGAAACCCAGTTTCTAACGTTGTATGTCCGCAGACGCTGGGGGTGGGGGCTTGTGAGGCGATAGATTTTCTTTTGCTCGAAACTTTTGAAAAGCAACTATGGAGTACAAAAGGTCAATGTTACAAAATCTTTGAATATTTAATATTTATTTTCCTGAATAATTCTAAATCTTCCACAATTCTGAGAAGTTGCATGCCAAGGAACACAAGAAAACAAATTCCACGAGGAACATTGATGTATCATAAAGTGTTGGTTTGTTTGTTTTAATTTTGCTCAAAGCTACATGAGGGCTATCTGCGCTAGCCGTCCTAATTTAGCAGTGTAAGACTAGAGGGAAGTCATCACCACCCACCGCCAACTCTATGAGGTTTTGGCACATTGTTCACTTTTAAAAAGTTATATTTCTTTGTAATAACCCATGCCATTAATAT